AATTTCACCAATCACAGAAAGATTTACTAAAATTGAGGCGATGTTCAGCAGCCAATCATACGAAACTCCCTCATGCTGTTCTGTGTTAGTCGTGGAGAGATCCGATTCACAGCTGGTATTAATCGCTGGGAATGATTCTTGAACAATCAATTCACCCTGAAACTTTTTTTCCCGCTTCCTTTTCCTAATCTCATCGCTAACCTTTTTCATCCAAGAAATCGTCTGTTTCCTTATCTTCAAATGATTCAGTATTGGCATCATTACTAGATACGTCACCAGAGGTAACTCGTCCTACTTCATTATTTAGCTGATCTATTACAGAATCGGATATCTGAATATTGCCAAAAGGTGCTTCACTAGTATTTGGTTTCATTGTGTTAGTGTTCGAATCTATAGTATTATTATTCTGCCCATTTTCTGAAACCATTTCCTTAGAAATAACCGTTACCTCTGGCAACATCTCCGGTTGAGGAAAGGTTTGCTGTTTGATTTCATTGACATCATACCTTAATTTTGCTATCTCAGCTTTAAGCTCAACATTCTCAGATTCGAAACTGCATTAGTCTTCTCTAGCTCCACGATTACGGCATTAAGTTTGCCAATCTTAACTGAATAATCCGCTATAGTCTTCTCCAGCTCATCGGTTCTGGCCTTAAGCTTCCGTCTCAATTCCATTTTCTCAGAGCAAACTTTAGTGACTTCTCTCTAAGTTTGGGAACCTCAGCATTCTCTTTCCTAAGCTCTGAAATCTCAGCTAAGAGCTTGGCATTTAATTCTCTTAATGAATCGTTGGATTGCATGTTCGATAATAATTTTTATATAAGATGGAATAATTCAAAAGTTCGTTAGCATAGTAAAAAACGAGGTAATATCCTCATCGGAATTACTGATTTATTGATGTAAAAAATAAATTACAAGATTAGGTAATACATAAACTTGTTTTACAATGTGAAATAGCGTTTCTATACTAATTGCCTGCAGACCACACCACATATTATCCCTCCATGATCCGGTTTCATTGTCCCAACCATCGATATTCCAGATAAAACAAAAATGTGCTGTCAGTTATAATAAAGTTCCGCCGAAATTTATGTTGTTTGTATTCCGTGATGCTAGTAGAAATCTGTACGTTCACTTGCAAGCTGAAATCGTTTTCTTGTAAAAAGAAGTATGTTTCACTTAAATAATTATTCGCCAACACTTCTTTCAAACTACGATACTTCGGTTTCTTTTAAACGAGTTCAGGCTCGAAGAAAATAATACAACGGCTTTGGTGGTCGCAGTAAGAAAAATCTTATCCATCACTCTGTATTTAAATAGTACTGCGCATTTTATTTTTTCGTTAAAGCAAAAAATGCAAAAATGCCGACTGTATCGCAAATCAATCGTGAGAAGATCGTATTATGTAATCTGCGCTTAGACCTGTTTTTAGCTAGAATATGCATGAGCTAGCATAAACTTGGTAAGTTTTCGTTCGCATAGTATTTTTGTCGAAACATTCACTAAGAGATTATGTACACAGAAAACTGTTATTTATATACAAAATGAATAGAATGAAAGGCTCCTTAAATAGTCGTCTAGATAGACCTCCAACAAGGTCTTTATTTGTATTTACTGAAACATCTGTTTTAAACCTTCTTTAACTCTCGATTTTCGCGTTTGCAGGTATACCGACAGTATGTTGGGCTGTATCGTTTTAGGCGAAGAGAACGCATTTCCTGTTGATTACGATACAAGCAAGACCGTTGGGCATCTCAAGGGAATCATCAAGGAGCAGGCAGGGTTGGCTGATCCCGCACACAAACTGAAATTATGGCAAGTTAATATTCCTGAAAGCGAGAAACGTGAGATATATGAAGGAATAAACATCAAAGAAAAGTTCGGAGGTGAGAAATTGGACAGCGACCTCATAATTATTGGACAAGTTTTCAAAAAACAAACTCCTAGTGGTTACATCCACATCATTGTGGAATTGCCTGCCACCACTGGTAAGTGTCTCCCAATGGTTTACCTCTCGAACAAGAAATTCGCGTTGTCTCACATCTTTTTTTTTAAATTTATTTCTATTATGCAGAGCCTTTCGCAAAAACGATCTCCCTAGCTCAAATAGAAAAAGAAGTTCAAGATCTATTTAAAATTCATTCTCAGGACCTAGAAAAGGTTGTGACAAACAAATATGATCCTTATATGTACTTCGAAGCACCGTACGATCATCCTCACAAAATCGAAATTGATAAGAAAAAAATTCCCATGCTCGGTGGTAATCCTAATTTGCTTCTGTATAACCTCCCTAGAAAGAATGAAGATTGCCTCACAGATTGTGAACATCTAGAAGCAGAACTGAAGCGTAATGCATCTAGTAGCATGACAATTATTATGGGGACTTCTGGCTGTGGCAAAACTCGCCTATGTTTGGAACTTTTATGTCGCAACTATGGCCTGTACTTTGTTGCTGAGTCGTGGAATCTTGGATCTGACGACTTAGAACTTGCAACAGAGTGGACGAAGGAAAAAATCAATGTAAAACCTGAGCCTGAACCTGACGAAGCAAAAAATATAGCAGAGTGCGCAGTATGGAGTTGCATCACAGGAAGATTATTCTTGCTTAACCATCTATTTTGTATGGCTAAGGAACGTGACTGTGCAATGGAACCCAAATCTTGGCTAATCTTCCAGCTTAATCATCGACTCATCAGTGAACTATCTATAAGATTTCGAGAATCTTGTGATGTGATACACCTTAAAGAATATTGTCTTAATACTATGGCAGATATTAATAAAAAACTAAGTAGCAACATCTTTCCAGTAATTTATGACGAGGCCCAAATTCACACCTCATGCCTAGCAAATAAATTTCCATCTTATAATAACAAAAGTATAATGAGACCGTTTTTTACTGTAACTGTTAAAATCATGTCAACTTTACGCACGGTATGTGTGGATGTAGTTGTTTGTATAACTGGATCTGGTTTATCACTATTGGAAGCAAAAGATCTAGCAACATCTAACGTGGCAAAGGAAGGATCCCTGTAAGTTAAGCTTTTTAGTCCTAAGTCCAAGCACATTTTGTATAATTTAATTAATTTTTTCTGTTGTTCTATAGTGTTCCGACTTTTAATCAATTTGGTCAAATTAATACCTCGGAAGAGATACTTAAACTGACGCGTAGTATATTACCACTTGAAGAAAAATATGCGTCAATTGCAATTGGATGGCTAAAGGTATATCATTTTTCTCATGGTATTTTATCGAATTCAATTCCAGTTCTTACAATATAATTTTTAAACAGGGTCGATATCGTTTTACTTGGACATGGATACACTATCTCATTAAGTCTTATGATCCCGACAAACAACTTAAAATACTAAAAGATCGTCTTACAACTGATTACATAGATCAACGAAATCCAAGATATAGTCTTTACTCTGGACTTGTAAGACTTGTACATCATCCTAATGAGCGACATTCCTATATTAACCATGAGTCAATATTGGAAATTATAAAAAGAGCAATTACTTATTATGCAATGACGGGAAGGCGTTTTTTGTATAAAAATACTAAGGAGATAGATATTATGTCTATTGGCTTTGCCCACCTTGAAACTCAAGAATTAACTGGAATCATTGACGAACCTCTTGCGATTCAAGCAGGAATCAACTATTTTATAAATACTAAAATAGACAACATGTGGTTTGATGTAATGTCACAAGTCAATTTTAATGCGAGCATGCCAGGTTTTATTTGGGAAAAGTGTGTTACAAATTTTTTGCATGATATTATTTTTAAAAGTAACAAACCTTTATCCTCGCACAAAAAACTGTTCCCTCATAACTGTCATCTTTACCTTCCTGTTGATTTTGAGAATTCACCTGAGCTGTTGCCATCTGGTAAAAATCGTGTAGGCATGAAATCTGTAGAACTTTCTGCACCTGAAGAGTATATTGGGTGGCTTCGCATAGTGTCATCATGGGAGAAGACTGGGAATGTTTCTGACGGATTTTGCCCAATATGTTATCCACCAAACACAGCAGGTCCTGATATTTCAATTGCTTTTTTCTTCCCGAAAAGAGAAAAAAGAGAAGCTTATATTCTGAATGTTCAGGTCAAATTAAGAAATAATGTTGAGTTAAAGAAGGCATGTAAAACTGTCAACCCGAAGACAATGTTTACAGATAAAGACTTGAAACCCAGTCCCTCTCATGATGAATTGCGTGAAATCTACAAACAACAAAATTGGGATAACCGCAACATACAGATGATTGTTGCCTATCCTTGTAATTTTAAAAGAAAAAGGGATTATCAAAAAACACCTGGTGCATCAAAAAGAGTACGCAAGATACCAAGATTGATTATTGATGAAAATAATGCAGTCGCATTGATTTCTAATGATTGTCAAAATTGGGTTAAAGTTTTAAAACAAGAACAGGGATCCAAAGTTGATTGGGAGTGTAGTGACATTGAAAATTCTGATGATGAAGAATAGTTTTAAAAATAACAAAGTATTAGTTAGTTCTTGCATTTTACATTTTCTTTTTTTTTTCGATGATTATTTTTTTTACGAAATGTAAATTTTGCTTTCACAACACTCCGGCTCACATCCACCGTAAATGCTCTTTGATAGAGTTCGGCATATAACACTAATATACAGTGCCTTATAATTAAAATCATGAGAATAGTGGTGATATGTCCGCTTTAGCATTATGACGCTATCCTAGAATCAAATCGAAGTGTTCATTTGATTAATGTCGTATAAATAATGATTTACGCTTTACTTGCACAAAGCGAATAAAAGAGTTCATTAATAAAGGCCACATCTTTTTATAACTTGCAAATAAGGTATAAGGATCGATTTAACTAATGTTACAGCACATTCATTTATCAACGATGATCGAGAAATATTAGCATACAACTTATGCAACCGTGAAGAATCTTCACGATCAAAATCACGTGAATATTCAGGCCAAAATCCAAATTCAAGATGCCACAATATTATGCAGTGGTTATGAAAAACAAGGCATTTCCTCATCAATGTCATGCGTAAAAAATTTATTCAATGCAACAAAAAATAAATACGAGTTGGGGTTTTGCCCGTGATACATGATGAAGTTACTACATCATAAATTACTACATTTCTATCCCATTAGCTTATCTATTCCTCCGCAAGATTACTCAATGACTTTACCCTTTCATTCCTTCGATTCCTCTCCAGCTTTCATTAGCTTCTGTGCTTCTTCCAGTAATCATATAATGTAATCATATAATATAACCAAGGACTCTCTCTGCCTTGTCTTTCATAACATAAAATTTCGTCAGCATGGATAACACTCCCCAAAAAAATCACGTGCGTGTGAACAATTAATTATTCACGTCGATCAGAAATTTCTGACATTATGTCCCGGAAAAATGCCAAGAAAAATTTTTATTGATACATGCAAAAAATAAATACATAGTTTGGGACTACATTCGGGATACATATTATTTTTTAATAAATTTTTTGATCCTAGCTCTCTTACTAACTGGGGAACTATCAACACTAACCCGATCCTTCAACAACCCAACAATAATACCTATTACTAAAGATGGGAACTGTAATTAATATGTTGCAACTTTTAATGTTGCAACTTACGTTGCAATTAGTTTTAACCTATATATGTTGCAACTTATAATGTTGCAACATATGTTGCAACTAATTTTAGCTTATGTTGCAACATTTTGTAAATTTGAAATCAATTGCTGTACCATCTTTACCTATTACCCTTTTCACGTTGCTTCTAAGTAATTCAGGATTTTCTTTGATGGCGGACTTCGTGAGATTAATTTGGTATTTGCTACCACTAGTAGAGTATATACCATCAGGAGTATATATAATAAAATACCACTCTGTACTCGTTATTACAATACCATAGATATAGTCGAAATAGTCATTTCCGAATGCTTGATTCACAGTCCGTTTCTTTTTATTGGTCTGGAATATACTTTCAAGCTGAGCCAGATTCTAAGAAAAATAAAATGTGTTAATATTATTGAATCTCTTTTGGATTGGTGCTCTAAAAAAACACAGATCTGTGTAGTAGACGCACCTGCGTATATCTGATCTTAATATTACGAGACTTCCCTTTAGTGATATATAAGAGGTTTTCTAGAGCTTTGATTGCATAGTCAACTTGATCGGTTGAATCTTCTCCTAAAATATTCTTCTGCAACACTATAAAAATATTTTGAGAAGTAAGTCTTTTAGTAATAGCAATTGACGCATGTAATATCGTTGAGATAAATTCACAATACATCACCTCATTGGCATCGGTCATGATTTTTACGTTTAAAAGCTTTAAAATTATATAATAACTAAAAGCCTTATCATCATCATTAATTTTCTTGAAGACTGTGAAGGAAAAATAAGTTATTTTACATGATGGATTATAGAGCAGAATAAAAAGAAAAGCAATCACTCATCAGGAGTAAATTGCTTGATATTTGTTATATCTTTCCCATTAACTTTATTCCTATGTAACATTTCTTTCAAGTCATTAAGAGTTTTGAGCGAGAAATAGTTTCTTAATTTTTGGTTGAGATTTTTGATAAATTTTGCAAGTGTTGTTGTAGGATCAGCTTTCAAGCCATAACTTTAAAACTCTTCTTTAATTATATCAAGAAAGATGAAGCCAGAAATTTCTTCTTTACATAAAATTTCAAAGTAGAACTCCTCTAGCTTCAAGTTTTTCTTTTTCAAATATTTGATAAGCTCCTTTATATTAAAATCCTTAACTACATACTCCTACATGCTTTATATCTTGCTGGAAAAAAGTTAAGGAGGTATAAGGCATAATTAGTATTGTCGTATGATGTCAAGAGTTTTATGAAAGTACATGTAAACGAAATCTTCATACCTTTTCACATGTAAATCTACCTTACAAGATATATACAGAGGGTACCCAAAAGTTTCCGAACACTAAGTTTGACATCGTATATCTCAAGATGCACCGATCAGAATTAGTT